AAATTAAGACAGCGGCAGTAATGCAAACATCAAGGTGGCGTCCCTCTTAGGGAATGAGGCTACTTAAGAAATGCCGCAATTTCGGATTCGGAGCAGGAAGTAATTTTTACTCGACAAATATTGACTTGATCCCAATAAGACAGCGCCGTGAAATAACTTGAAAGCATTGCGCCTCCACAAGCCGAGGTGATCCAATGGCCCAAGTGGACGGTGGAGGCTGAGGATGCTCACTTGGCGGTGGCCACCGCAGCGGACCATAAACAACGGAGACACACGAAAATGGGCAGCAGTTGCGGTTCACTTTCTCCGCAGTTGTCCAGCCCCCACAGGAATTTTGCCTCCCCGCCTGCACTGAGAGAAACGAGCTACCATTGCTTAAGCATTACGGAACCAAGTTAGCAAAGAAAATGGTCAATCTTTGTGTAGATATTTTCAAATTGAGAACCCTTAATTAAAAGAACTTTGCTGACCGACCAAAACTATACCTTGCAAATTGCATTGAAAATAATAAAAATACTATAAAAATAACAATGGTAATTTAAGTTTCACATATTATTTAATGCAAATTAAAATGGAATCAAGCTGGTGAATGAAAGGGACTGAATATAAAGCTAAGAACAAGATGAAAGCAGCACTTGATATAAATATTTGTTGCTCCGACTGCATCAGAAGCCACTCAAATAAAACAAAGAACATAATAATAAGCAGCAAAAATCACTTTCACCACCTTTACTTGTTTTTCTTCGTGTAGACTGTGAAAGGTGTGCTACTGCAGAAATTGTAAATTCACTCGCCACGAAATGAGGACGCCACGGAATGTTGACAGTTCTCGGGAGGATGGGCAGCTATAGTGATGGGCTGGTGCTGGGATGGCATCGGATCTGGATGGAATGGAAATCGGAATGGGAATGGGAATGGTTCCACATTTCTGAGTCAGCGGGTTGTCTGCGCTAGATGCTCCGCTGTTCTGTGGGTTCGCTGCTTTTGGGTGTGGGGAATTGCAAATAGTTCGGAGCGATTGTGATTCGCTGGCTCGTTCTGGTTATGGCCAATTGGCAGTCAACAATGGCTGGGTGTCCCGATGATTCCATCAGTAGCAGTGCGTTGAACCCGTCCGTCTGGACAGCGCGTCTGGCCGCTTCTTTTCCCGCTCCGGGAATTGGATATAAAATATTCGCACAAAGCGAGCGAAATGCGTGCCGGAAACTATGCAACCCTTGTCTGCTCTGCAATTGCCAATGCATTTGTAATTGTCTCTGGCTGCGGGGATACCTTGTCCGATCCGGGTTATATTGTCCTATAAAACGGGCAGTTTATTCCACCCGAAAGTGAGAGGGAAGAAAGCGATAAGTAATCGCCCATGTATATCCGCCTGTATACTCGTATACTCGCAGTCATGCCTCATCAAATAAAGCCGAGCATGTGTTATAAAATTATACAATTCATTTTGACAAAATTCCAAAAATTAATATGCGACAAAAACAACAGAAAAAATAAAAAACTGCGAAGGCGGAACAGGCAGAAGTGGAAGCCACTTGATTTATGCCTTTTCGGGAACATTGTGGCGAGGTGGACCACCAAAAAAACCGGAGAAAGTAGAGCACTTTCGGGAAAGTGGGCGTGGCACCTGCCAAGAGGCACGTCCGCGCTTCCCAGGCTCCTTGCACAATTCTTATGTATAGGTTTCCACAGTTGCTTCTGATGTGGGTTACCAATGAATAAAATATGAGGAAAATGCTAGGGACTGCGCCAAGTTTGTGCGGTTTTCATTGATAAATGGAAATTTAAGTAAAGTAATTAAATTTAAATAAATTAAGTTGTGGTTGCTGGCAGTGCGGTTATGTGACTCTTTACTCAATGCCATTGATTCAATTTAAAACCTACCAATCGCCTTAAAAGTGAAAACTATGTTACATTTGTTTTCGTTTCTCGATGAAACCGGACAAAACTTGACAAAATTCAATTAAAGTGACGAAATGCAGTGAAAGTGTGTTGCAGAAAATCACGTGCAGCGCCTATGTATTTCCCAAAACTTGTTGACATAATATTTCTTAAAAAGTAGAACAATAATTAACCCATAAAGCCGCCCACTCGGAAAAATGTTGATGTGTGAAGGATGTTCCAAGAAAAAAAATGGATTGCCATGCCTGGGCCAACTTATCTTGTGTGTTCGCTGGCGAGGCTCTTTGTAAATGTTGTAAAAATAATTGCTTCGCTCACCGATCTTTACACAAATGATTATTGATGAACACTTTGGCCTATTTTATCAAAATCAAAGCGACGCGACAACGTCACTTTTGCCCGCCAATGAAGCGTGAAATTCGGACCGACAACGCGGGCAAAGCGCCAGCACACATTAAATCTTGCGAAAGTTTAACCCAGCCAGCCAAAAAAGCAAAAAAATTATCGAATGGGGAAAAACGCCTGGCACACCTTTTTGATGAACTATAAGACCATAGACTTGGGTGGATTTTTTTGGCAAGTGCCGAAGAGCCGATGACGTCAAGCGGCGGCAGTTGGCAGACTTTTGGCCCAGACCACCGATTGACCAACCTTTCAATCTGTTTTCATACACCTATATATATTATATATTTTTTTTTTGGCCACGCGTAGGTTTCCAGGAAATCCCCGTGAATCACCTGAAGGAGGACACGGGATTTAGGGGATTGTGTAAACAGAAAAGTCACCAAGGAATTCGACGGGGCCGGAATAATGCCGGGAATGCCAAAATATTGATGGAAGTCAAGCCAAGAGGCTTTTAGCGTCGCGTGCCAGTCGGCTCAGATCCGTCAGATACATCGGAATCGGAATCGGAATATCTGGACATATACTAGATGCATATAGTGGGTGAGTGTAATTCCATAGCTGACAGCCGGGCGGCATTATCATCTAGAGGCGACAACAAAGATCTCCCGCTGAATGACCAGACACATTTATTTGTTTACACAGCTCGGTTGCCGTTGCCGTTGGCGTTGCCTCATCTTGACAATCAATTAATTTCCATCCCCATCCCATTCGAATCCATTCCGTTCCATACCCGAGCACCTCCTGCCCCCCAGGAGAACTGAAGGGGCTGGTGCTGTCGACAAAGGCAAGTGGCGTCGTTGGCGCTAATTGTTTTTAATGAAAATTGCTAAGGATTTAATAAGGAAGAAGGCGCTGAACAAATGAATTTTAAAAGCCATTTCAATTATGCCATAAGTTTCTCATCAATCCGAGTGGCCACCACTACCACTGCAACTGCCACACGCGAACGATGACGTCAAAGATTGCAACACTCGCCAACTTCGAGTCCTATGCACTTTCTATATATAGCGCTATACTAGTATGGATTTTATCATCTTTGTCTGCGCCAAAGTTCACTGACTTTCGCCCCGACTGCAAAACACGAAAATAGTTCTGCACATTCAAATGAGTTTCGGCAAATAATAGTCTAATAATAACAATTTCTTTCGTACTTATAACTATAGCCAACTATTCCAGCAGCCGCAGAAAATCGGAATCTTCAGCCGTCGGATTACGTGCGAAAATTTCCAACGATAAATACTGAAAAAGGAGGTTAACCAATTTGTTCGCTTGCGGCTGGCGAAAGTGACAACGGAAAAATCACATCGGTGCTGGTGGGGATATGGGTGCTCTTTACAAATGAGTTTCCGTATTTCATTGAATGCATATGCATGTGCATGTGCATGTGCATATGCTATTGCATTCCTGCTATAAATATAATACACATTTTCACTTTCAGTTGCTGCTCAAAACTGAGTCAATGCGATGCGTGGGCGGCATTGCAGCTGCAATTCAGCAGTGGCTGAATTTTAATGACCCGACCAGTGCCAAAAATAAAATTTAAATATGCCAGCCAAGCGGCTAAATAAACGCGTCCATTTAAATAGAAATGATGGCGAAAGTGTCAATCTAAGTCTGCGTGGGCCGATGGCCAACTGCAAGGAGTCAATGCGCTCATTAAGCAAACTAATCCTCGCAAGAAACACATTTGTCTGTTCAAATCAAGAGGCGAATCAATCATGGGAGCGGAAAGAGTTGACAGTCGTGCCAAAACACCATGGTTCCGGAAGTTCAGGGTCTTTCCGCACCGAAGGTGAGTTAGTGAACCCACAAAAGTCGGAATAGGTTGACCTTGGGGGTTTGCCAAAATTGTGGCTAATACGCCAACATTCAACCTATTGAAGAGATACTGCCAATATGTATTGCGACTTTAATGAGCATTGATTATGAAACAAGCCAACAACTATTAACTGTTGGACTGGAAATTATTCAAAACTAAGAAACTTTCTTAGCGTAGAAACTTTAAGTGCCAGTTCTCATTCGCGTTGGCATTTTGAAAATGTCGTTTTTAATGTACATCAAATTTGAAATGTGTTGTGTGACTTCGACAACAATTTGAGCCTGGTTAAGGCAACATTTTCAACTAAACTGTGCTCACGTGCAAACATAACTTTTATCTGACTCCTGACATTTGCTGCCAGCGCTTCAAAACTTCGCCACTCTGCTCTTGTTCAGCATTTAACCAGCATCGATAAGAACGAAGGCACTTTTCCGTGCATTTTCCCCTGCTCAGCAAATTGAGTTTCCCAATAAACCTTAAAGCCTAAGCCCTTTGCAGCTCACAGCTTTTCTTACTGCGGAGAAACTATTAAAATGAGCGGCAATAAATTCGCTGGAAGCTGCTGTGTGTTCAAGTCTATTTCTCGATTCAATTACGGAGGCGAAACTTCGTTTTCCGGCCACCAAAGGCACGGAGACCGGATGCACTACAGTGTCGTCCTTAAATGCGTTACTCTGAATTGCATCAACTTTTTGCCGTCTAAAAGTATGCAGCACTAATCGGATATACGATGAACTTTAACGGGAAATCTGAGTGAGTGGCAGCGCTTTGTGTGGAGGGAAGGAGGAGAAAAGAAACTATTTTAGCCGATAGTATTGATAGTGCAACTATCGAATAACCTGGTAGGCCGGCGGCTGTCAGAGTCGATGGCACATCCTTAAATCGGCAAATGAGGCAAGTCATTCTTTCGAAAATTGTCGCAGCGAGCAGAGCTCTTGAAAAGTAATAAAAAGTAAAAATTAAATTCCTCTCATTGAGTCGTTGTGTTCCGTGTCGAGCAGAGTACTTAATTTTTGCAGCCAGCACGCCGCGTGTGCCGTTCTCGTTTAGATCCACATACCAAAGTCCAGGCCCAGGTTCAGCCAAGAACACCACTCCCTCCAACCATCATCCATTCGATTCCATACAGTCACCAATCGAAGCCTGACAAAATGGTCACCGACGCCCAGGACACCGTTGCACCCAAGACCACCAGCAGCAGCACCAAGGAGGTGCAGTGCCAGCACACCGGCACCCTGGATGAGCCCCAGGCCCAGGTCCAGGTCCAGTCGCAGTCGCAGGCCCAGGCCCAAGTCCTGGAGACGGCTCCCCCGACCCCCGCCCCCTTGGCCACGCCCAAGAGCGGCCGCGTGGGCATCTTCAATGCCGAGGACTTCCTGTCCCGCGCCCAGCTGAACGACAAGATCAACAACATCCTGCGCTCGCCCACCAAGACTCCAAATGGCGTGCGCCAGCGCTCGGTTTTCACCAACAACAATCCGTCGCCGGTGAGTAGAGTTGTCAGCCATTTTCCCGTAGGGTTGCCTGCCATTTTGTAGGCATATGCAGAATGAATTGCAACTTTTTTCGCCAGGCTGGTGCAGCCTGACTTGCACGAACATGATTTGACATGATACGATATGCTTTCCCGATATGCAATCCCCAGCAAGCCACCATGCGCCTCGTGTCGTCGATGAACAGCCCACTGGCCACACGCATGAGCAGCTTGTCGCTGAGTGGCGGCATGAAGCGCGAATTGGAGCGCGGCAGCAGCAGCAGCAGCATGGGCAACAGCGCCAGCGTAGGCACCAGCACCGCCGTTCTGGCCAAGGAGTGCTCCAGCCAGACGAGCAGCTGCAGCCGCAGCTACATGCATCTGGACATGCATGCCGCACCGCATGCATCCGGTTTCGGCGTCCTGCCGCAGGCTGGTGCTGGCTACGATGCCGTTGGACTGGACATGGATGCCGCCAACATCACGCGCAGCGGCAAGAGTCTCACCGGACGCTTCAGCACTGATGGCGCCTACTGCATGGTAGGTGCTCTGATTTTCCGCCCCGTTCGTGACGTATAGAACCATGTGATCCCTAGCCACAGGCACATCACACCCAGCAGTTCCCATCGCCCATGCCGCCACCACCCTATGCCCTGGGTCGCGTCAGCTCGCGCACCTTTGAGTTCGACAACAACACACCACCGCCGTGTCCAGGATCTGGACCCATCGCCATGTCCAATGGCACCATCCAGCTGCGCCTGCGCGAGGGCGTTCGGTAAGTGATCTTCGTGGGTTCCTCGGGTTGCCTTTGTGACTGCAATGTACCCCTGATTCCAGCATTGACATGACCCTGGACAAGGCTGTCCGTGTGCTCAACCAGCGCAGCATGGTGGCCGTCGCCCTGTCGCGCAACTGCAGCAACTCTGCCCTCATCCATCCCAATGGAAGGATCCTGCAGAGCGGCTCCAAGGTGGAGATCGTCGCCTACGACGGCATGAAGGCCAATAACTTTGTGTAAGTTTGAATGGTGCCTCTTATAGATTACCTAATCATTCGCATTCAAATGGTATTCATTTTAAATTTTAAACCCTTTTCGTTCCAGTCGCTATGCCAAAATGTGGTACAAGGGCGTCAGTTTCACCAGCGAGTCCTGCGCCCTCATCTATCTGGTGGACACAGCCGGCACCCGCACCACCACCGATACCTTCACCGATTTGACCAAGGACTACACCCTGGCGGTGTTCTATGAGTGAGTTCAGCACGAGAATATAGCAAATCAATTTGGCAAGCTCCTCTTTCCAATTAACAACGCCCTCCAGCGATTCGCGCCACGGCCCATCCTTTATGTCCGATGCCCACGAAGTAATCGCCAACTCCACCTACAACTGCGCCGAGGACGGCACCGAGGTGTACGACATCAACGGATTCCGCATCACGCAGGCGGCCGACGGCCTGGTGAAGGTCACACGCCAGCACAACAAGTGCCTGATTCGCACCAGTCCGGGCAATGGATCCGCCACCCTGACCACTCCCGGCATCCACTGCACGGCTTCGCTGGGCAAGACCTCGCACCTGTTCGTCCGGTGAGTTGGCCACTGCATCCACTCCTGTTTGCAATAATGATGCACTCGAAGAAAAGAAATGCACAAAATGGTTCTACACTTGGCAGTATTTCTCTAAATTTCATTCCCAGTTCAAAAGATTTCACCATAGTTTGGACTTGAATTTGGACATTTGAAGCTTACTATTTAATTAATACTGCTTCTCTTTTCTTTCAGTCGTAATGAGAAGCGCATGCATTTCGACGGGTCCTGTTTCATTGTACGCAATGCTGGTCACTCGGCCGGATTCAATGAAAACAACCTGCTGATTGTCTACTAAGTACCGCTCGCACCGAGGGATGTGCACCGCGTTGGGTGGCAGCCAAGTGCCACCTGTAGCCACCCAGCGGGGCTATCGAAAATCACCCCATTATACCACCACACACACACATCAGAAAACACACACACGCACACCGACTCAAGCGTCGATATAGCTACCCCGAAAAAAAAAACAAGAAAAGCAAAGGAAAGTAAAGGAAAACATTGGAAAACTGGGGCCTCGACGTGGAGAGGGATCAGATCATATGAGAAAACCTGGTCCTCGAAACAAAACAAAAATTATAAATGTAAAGCTGCATTTGAAAAGATAGCTCGAAAAAGTGCGCGAGCAACGATATGGCGATCCTGATCCTTGAAGGATCGCTCTTCGCTTGCTCGACGTAGGCGCAACGCAACCACTAGGGAATTAGTTATAGTCCTAATCACACTCCTTTCTCAATCTATTCCTCGATATACAATCTATTTTATACGCATACAATTGTTTCGTACGGGCAAGTGCCAGGTGGAGTAGGTCGCCGGGAATCCACCTGATGCCTGAAACGCTGGCCAAGTCAATGGGATTTCGATCAGGGCCAGCGTTTGGTGTTATAAAAAGAATGTATTCGTTTCGCGTTCCTCTTTTTCGGCCTGCTCAGTCTGTCCAAATTAGTTACTAACGAATTTCTCTACGTTCTACTTTAAATGCAACATTTTATGAGCAAATTCGACAAGGCTGAAAATTGAAAGTTGCAAAATTTCCACAAAAAAAGTAAAATGCAAAAATTGATCAATTGTTTATATCAAAATTGGCCTCTGAGCGGAGTTAGCTAGCAAACGGCATACTTTGGCGTAACGTTCGGCCCACGTAACAATTAACACCTGTGTCAATTCAGTTACTTCTAAGTTACCAGTTAAGATTAGTTAACCCAGTTAATGGAATCCAACCATGTTCATCCTCACCCGTACACACACAAGCACACACACGTGTAAAATGAGTGGACTTAGTGCTTAAATTTCCAAGTGTAGCAGTAGTACCACTACCACACTTGTAAGACACATATACACTCGTACACATACTCATACACACACACACATGCAATCCATTTGAAGGCAGGAAAGAAGTAGAAATTGTGACTGAAATGGAATACGACTTTTTTTTAATTAGCTTACGAAACACTCATTTAGAAAAGGCGGTCGTCTTTGAAAACCGAGTTAAAACACGCGCTCCCTTGTGAATTCACATGCAAACATCATTCCCCTCAAAAGAGAGGGGCGTCAAAGAAAGTGAAACACCTTGCAATTAAACTTGTATAGCCTTACAACAATCCCCAAAACTCTAAATTTAATCATCATGTAAATCGAAATTTATGTGCACAAAAATCGATTTCAAAAAGTAATACATGGAAATCCTAAATAAAGTAAATTCTAACTGCGCTACTGAGTAGATTCGTAAAATTTGTTACTTTCTCATGGGTTAATTTTGGGTCGAGATACAATTTACAGCGGCTCATGGCAGCCATATATTACCGCGGCACCATTCCTCCGGCATTGTAAAAGTACAAGAAAATTGCTTTACGACTACAATTCACATTACAACCCTCTTGGAGGAGTTGTGCCACCTGAGGGGCCATCAGCACTTAAAATCTTTTCTTTTGGAGCAGTGTAAATATTTATACGAGTGACTTGCACGTTTAAAATTAATTGAATTTCGGCCAAACGTTTTCATAAACAAATATTATATGTTTACCTGCAAGCAAATCCAAAAGCACAACGATATGGGATCGGCAGTCATGCAGACTAAGCTCCCAAACAGACTTAACCTGGAGTTGGAGCTGGAGGAGGAGCGGCCCGTTGGCAGTGGCTGTTGATAGAGATTAGTGGATAATGCTGGGGCGGAACTATGTGCCACGGCTGACTCTGTCATAGGAAGAAAGTTGTTCCATGGTTAGCGGGTACACAGAGAGAAAAGGCGGGTGAGCGTAAGCGAGGCGGTGCGGAAGTCACAAGGCAAGGATACTCAAGCGGCGGCAGTGGTGAGTGTCTTCAGCTCAGACTGGCAGAGTTAAACGACAAAAACAACGCAAACATACTTGTACATCTAAAAATGCGTTTACTCTAGTGCTGCGAATCAAATAAAGCCCCAACACGAACCCAGCAACCTGAAGCCCGAGTCCTGAACCGAGGCCATGTAGCCCAGGAGCTTGGGAGCCATAAGGAGCCGTAAAGGACGAACCCACACATATGGCATATTCAATGCTCACGCTTGCGTGACTTGGTCGGGAAAAACCGTTGGATGGGAACGGGGCGGATACGGTGCCATTTGCCTCTCGCACCCGTGCTCAACATCAAACGCTTTTCACACTTAATTGGGCGTAAAATTAAATCAGAATTGATTAAAACACTTGAATGACAGCAGCAGTCGAAGCCAAAGCTCCGGTGCTATATGCTGCCGAATCTGGGGACCCGGCCAAAAAGTCTAAGCATAAACAAACTTTTTGGTTGCCATTTTTCCAGCTGACGCATGGCACGTAGCTTCATCTGACCGACTTTGCCACCCAAAACCCAACACCCAAAGGCAACTCAAAGCCAAGCCACCCCATCGCCGTCCTCCTAAAAAGGACTAATTGCTGCCTAGAAACTCCGCTCTTCTTCTGCCGTTTGCCTTTAGAAAGTTTATCAAATTCAATTTCCGGCGAAAGTTGGAATGGGCTGGATAGGCGAGGCATCAATTTTTATATTCTACCATTTAATGGGGCTTCAATTATGCGAGTCTCGGTCCACCGGTCCACCATTACGTACACATTTACATATACAAATTCAATGAGGCTTAATTCCTGGCCATAAATCGTCGCATGGGCTCGTTTCACCTGTCTTCTTCTGTGGTCATGCAGCAAATCAATTCGATTTCCGGCCAAAAGGAAGAGCAATCGCATTGCAACGGCCCACGATAATAGCATTTTAACCCATTTACCCAGGAAAAACCCAAACAGTAATGGATACACCCATACGTATACTGCTTCGTTTAGCTTAATGGGAAATGAATGACCCAAGGGGGAAATGAAAAATTATGAATATTTAGCCCTGCGGCTAAGAGGCTTAAATTCAACCAGCAGTATTACCTCAAAATACAGCACAAATTTGAGTGACTCCATCTGTCATGGCGAGCACTTCATCCGAATCTCTCTTTCGCATGCTTAAGCCTGAGGTGACAGCAATCAAATCAATCAGACCAGCCACCTGAGCCCAGTTGGAGTTCAAAGTGAGTGGTCCCCAAAGGATGTTTCCTCCTTGGCGGAGGCGTTAGCCCCCAAAAAGCCATAACCGCAACGAGGCAGCGGCGAAAGAAAGGGTGATTGTGAACGACATGTTTCAGGTGTATATAGTATATCAATGCCAAAACTGCCATGGCTGATTGCTGGTTGCGAATATCAGTATCAATTCATGAATAAAATGCAGCCAAAGGTCGATTAGGGCACTCTGAAACGTCTGCGCCATCGGAAGTAATTAAGCTGATTAGAATTAAGCGAAATGCATAGCAGAACTACTTGAGTTCAGCCCTCGAAGCAACTAGAATTTATTTTGCCAAGGAGCTACGAATATAAATTAAAATTGTGTAATTGTTTTCCAACTGTCTGGCAATAACAATTGAAATGTAACAACAGGCGAGCGTCAACATTATTATAATGGCGTTTAATTAAGCCGCTAAGTAAATCCCCTCTCAGCACTCTAATTTGAATTGGCAGGCCGAAAAGCAAAACAAAAGCGCCTGCCGAAGGCCAAGTATTTCGGCCCTAATCCTCTTGGCCCGGTCCGAAATAAGGACTTTATAAATTGGCAAGGGGGGGGAGTATGATGTTGCCGGATGCCATCCAATAACGAAACTTTCGGCCAGATGTAATGGAGGCCTGGTAAATAGTACAATATTTTCACATTGCAATCTGTGGTGTTACGTGTGTTTTTGTCTTTCTTGTTCTTGGCCAGAAATACTCGGTCTCTGGCCATGGCAATTCATTTTTTTGTTTCGTTAGCCAAATTTGGCAGATGTTACCCATCATCATCATCGTCATCCACTTCCTGGGGAAAAGGTTAGCGGAATAAATATGATGGCTGTATTTGCCAAGAATAATACTAATTAACCTGGTGTCTGTGCGGGATTTGCAATGCATGAAAGCCCTTTAAATGCAAAACCCTAAATCTCATTAAAATGCCGCAGCCTGTTGTCGTTGCCATCCAACTCAAGTGTCTCCCATTTCCATGCGGGTTTTGTCTGGGATTCGGCGGCAGATTCAGGCTTCGCCTTTCCCATTCAGCAGCCAATGGCAGTTATTTTCAACGGCGCTTTTAATTAAGTCTAATGGTAAAATGTTGTTACGCAATTATGTCGGTGTCGTTGTTTTCGGAAATGCCCTTTAAATTGGGGTCCGCTCACGTGCTGACCCTGTTTTATTCGACCCTGGGTAAAGCAATTGGGTGAAGTACAAATCGAATTACCAATAACGAGAATGCCACAATAATTTCTGTTAGCACCTGACCGAAACGGCAGTTGATAATGGAGCCCACTGTCATATCCTCTTACCAAAGCGCCAGCGAGTTTAATACATGTTAAGCTCGATACACTGCGCAAAAGCTGGCATTTGAGTTTCACAATTAGATTATAAAATTAGCAGCCCTTATTTCCAGTACCAAAGCGATTTAAATACAAAAGTGAAAATACCACCAAATAATGAAAATATTCACTAGAAATATTTTCACACATCGTATTTGACAATTGAGGTTTGTTCAAGCTTGCGGTGCAATTATGGGAAGTTATGCGGTGTCAGGTGTAACATACAAAATACTTCAGCAATAGCAGCCTCGGTCGAGCTTCTGGTTACCCCCCCAGATATGACTAAGGATTCCCAGGGCATATCTGTGGAATAGCCAAGGGATATGTACTTACATGATGGGCGAGGCCATTGATGTGGCTACCTTCTGCGGCAGGTCCTTTTCCTGAAGATCCTGCTGATGCAGCGGCTCCTTGGCCCGCTTCACATGACTTTAGGCCAGCGACCGCGGAGTTACGCGAAGATTCCTGGCAATAGTTGCAGCACCTGTCTGCGATGTGGGCGTGGCTGTGGCTGTGGGCGTGGGCGTGGGCGTGGCTGTGGGTGCTGGCAAGGGGCAGGGGAGAGGCCGGCGGGGTGGGTTGTTGTGGAAGAGAGGGGCCCGTTCTGTTGCGTAAACGGGCCAAAGCACTCCGTAGACCCTCCGTATTGTCTTTGTCGGGCCCCCGTCCAAGCGAAATGCATCCGCAGATCAGTCCCCCAGCCTCCCGCAATCCAGTGCCAGCTCCTAGTCGCACCTCTCCTCGACGCACTGCC